TGGTGTGGAGGGTGGGTGTCTTAACCACTAGCCAAGTGTCTGCTCCCTACTCCCCCTTTTTTTTTTAAATTGCAATTCACAGTGAGAAATTTTTTTGTGACCCATAAGCATATGTGTATTGATAAATGTAAGTGAAATGAAGTTTTCACAAAAATCATACATTTCCCTAAGTGTAGTACACTGTCTTTTCTATTATTTTTCCTTTTTTAAAACTCTGGATGTGACCTGCTGCGTACATAGTAGATGCACTGGTTCTCAAGCAGTGCTTCCTAACATGAGATCCTGAGGCCCCGCCTCACACTTGCTTCTCTAGGGCCGTGGAGTTGTCTCCTTAAGGCCCCGACGTAGCTGTCCTGCTCAGCCAGGTTCAGGAGCATGGCACACACACAGCATTTTAAAAACGGGAGCTGCTGCCCTTGCTACTGCAGCTGTGGTAAGCGTCCGTCTGAAATCTTGGTTCTGGAAAACATTATAAGACTTTGGAATAAAAGCTGGTCTATTTTAGGGCTGTTTACCATGGTAGTTGGCTGCATATCCCACTTAATGTTCCAGGGTAAGAAGCCAGTTCTGAGAGACTTCAGGTTGCTCTAGAAGTCGTAGATCTGCCTTGTGCCCATGGGCCACTGGGGACAGTGCCCTGCCATCGGCACCCTTGTTTCTTGCAGGCAATGGCAGTGCCTTAGTGAGGCTGCTCCAGGAAGGCGCCTGCAGGCTTGAAGATATTGGCTCCTATAGTGCGGAGGAGCTGCGGCAGCTGCTGCGGCAGTGCGACATCCCCTTTGGGGTGGAAGACTCGAAGGTGAGTGTCACAGGGAGCTGTGAAGACTGGCGCTGTGGGAGAAGGTGGTTGGCCCACTTCGTGGGCAGGGCAGAGGGAACCGGCAGTCAGGGTACCTGGGAGATAACACCCAGATCATGATACCTATGAGGCCCTGGCCTGCAGTTGGCTCCGGCTGCTGGAGGCCATGGTTCTCAACTTTAGGGACAGGAGTCCTGGCTCTCTTATTGACCGTTATCAGCAAGGCCTTGGATGAACCATCCTACATGTTGTTTCATGTGCCTTGTTTGCAAAATCAAGATAACCAAAATACCATATGGGTCTGGTTTTCAAGCCCTTGGGTGCACAAGATGGATACACGTTTGTCCTTTTTTAAAGATTTGCTTGAAAGGCACAGTTAGAGAGGGAGAGATTGTCATTTTGCTGTTTTAATTCCCTGCATGACTGCAAGGGCTAGAGCTGGGCCAAGCCACAGCTAGGAGCTTCATCCCATGTGGCCAGCAGGGGTCCAAGCACTGGGGCCATCTTGCGCTGCTTTCCTAGGTACTGCAGCAGGGAGCTGGATTGGAAGTGGAGCAGCCAGGACTCAAAAACAGGCGCCTACATGAGATGCTGGCATGGGACTCCAGGGCCAGCTCTCCCGGGCTTTGTGTATTGAAGGGAGCATTTGTGCTGAGCACCAGGACTGACCCTTAGTGTGGGCCCATGGTTTTAATCTTGTCATTCCCCTCCAGGACCAGCTCTCTTTCTCCTTATTGGCCCTCTATGAATCTGTACAGAATGGAGCCAGAGCTAGACAGCCGCCACCTCAGTTCACCGGGGGTAAAATCTACAAGGTGTGCCCCCACCAGGTAAGCGGGTCACGGGGGAGCGTGGGGTGAACCTGCTCATGTGGAGCTGTCCCCACAGACTCTGACGCAGCCCCTTCATGCAGCTGAGACCCAGGTCGCTGCTGTGCGGGGGTCAGAGCACCTGGGCCATGCAGCAGTGGGAAGTTACCCAGCACCCTGCCTTGTGCGGGGCTCTGCCTCAGCTGTGGCGTGAGCAGGGGCAGAGAGCCCCGATGTCATTTCTCCCTAGTTGCCCTCCTATTTTAGTGGGAAAATAAAGTCACCTCCGCTTGTAGCAGGAGCGCTGGAGGAACCACAGGCAGGGCAGAGACAGACCTGTGCCGGTGAGGCCACCGGACAGGGCTGAAACCTGAGGCTAGGCTAAGGCCTGTGCTGGGCTGCCGAGTGTCTGGTCCCTGACTTCCAGAGGCCTTATGGGCCATGGTGACTGGGTTTTACTCAGTGCTGAGGGACCTTGGGGGTGGTTTTGAATGTAAATAGGGGTGGTGACGCAGTCTGTCAAGGAGTGGGTGGGGGGGGGTAGTCCTCAGGGTAGCTCAGACACAAGCTTTGTAGTACACCACAGTGTAGGCCCCAGTTAGCAAGCACTGATGGATCAGTGTTCACCGAGTCCCAGGGTGGCCTGGTTGTGAGCCCGCATGCTGAGGACTTGAACTACAGCGGCATTTGAGGGAGGCACTTGAAGCTGCTCAGAGGCTTTTGTGCACGTGGGACTGGAGGATACCCCCACGACCTAGACTGCAGCTCTTGGGACTGTAACAGGTAGTGGAAAGGCAGAATTCTACAGTGCACCCAGAGCTGGTGGGTGGGGGCCTGTTAGTCTAGTAACACCTAGACTCCATCAGGGCTGCTGTGTGAGCAGTAGGAAGTGGCCTGCTAGGGAGCTTGCCTGCGATACAGATGCTGAGATCCCAGGTCCTATGCTTGGGGTCCAGGCGCCTCCACTTTTAGCCTACTCTTGGGCCTCTGGTGCTGTGAATCTAGGATGAGGAGCCACTAGATGAGGCTTGGTGGAATCTGGTGGGGGGAGGGCAGGTTATCCTACCTCAGGTAAGTAAGGATGAGCTGGCGACAGGCAGGAAGCGGGAGGGGAGCAGAACCGCAGGGACTATGGCAAGACTGGCTTCAGGTGCGGTCCCCTTCCTAGGCAGAGACGGGCGGGGTGTGTCGCCTTCTGACCGCAGGGCTGTGTCCGCCCTCTCCCCTAGGTGGTCTGCGGCTCCAAGTACCTCGTGCGGGCTGAGAGTGCCCGCGATCATGTGGATCTCCTTGCCTCCTCCCGCCACTGGCCACCCATCTACGTGGTCGATATGGCCACACCAGTGGCCCTGTGTGCTGACCTTTCATACCCAGAGCTGACCAGCCAGATGTGGGGAAGGAACCAAGGCTGTTTCTCTAGCCCCATGGAGCCACCTGTGGTGAGTTCTCTCCTGGGGAACTGAGACAGAGCCCTCTACCCAACCCAGCCTCACACCCCCGCACTCCTGGGGACCACAGCCGGTATCCTTTTTCTCCCCCAATGTTTGTCTCTTTGCTCTGGATCAGCATTTCCTCTACAAACCAGCCTCTGTACAGAAGGCCACCCACAGTGTGTCACTTGGTGACCAGGGTATCCCGGACACCGGCATCTTTCCAAGTCAGTCCAGGCTTCTCCTTTTCCTGAAGGGGAACTCGACTTACCTAGAGGTAGCTGGCAGGTTGCAGGCCGACCCTTTGTGTGTTCGTACATTGAATCTCGCAGTAGATCTTAACAGACACATACCTGCCAAGGCCAGCCTTCTTCCTTTAGAGTCTGGGACTGGTACTGGGAAGAAGCAGAAAGGGGATGGCCCCTGCCAGGTTGCTTTATGGGAGATGAAAGCCACTGGACACTGTAGTCACTTCCTCCGCTCATGTAGCTCTGTGCTGGTGCTGGGGCCCTGTTCTCTCCCTGCAGCCCCTTGTGGCCTGGCGGGGTGTAGCAATATGCCTCGCTCAGGACGTCTGCTCTGCCCCTCACATGAGGAATTGCAGGCACGGAGGCGCCTTGCCCCCACGAACTCCCATGCATGATGATGCCACAACAAGCCAGGCGAGTGGGCTGGCTGACCCTGCAGCCTTTGCTCCCAGCCACCACACAGGTTCCACCTGGTCATTCCTTGCCATCTCTCCCCTAGAGCGTGTCCTGCCCGGAACTCCTGGACCAGCGGTATGCAGTGGACATGACAGAGGCTGAGCACTCAGTCCAGCACCCGGTCACCAGGACTGCTGCACGGCGCATCCTTCACGCAGGCACACAGCCCACTCCTGGGGACCCCAGCGCTGGGCACCACTCCTTGACCCTGTGCCCTGAACTGGCACCCTACACAGCCATCCTGGCCTCCATGGTGGACAGCAAACCCACCAGTGTCCGCCAGCGGCCCATTGCCTTCGACAACGCCACCCACTATTACCTCTACAACCGCCTCGTGGACTTCCTCACCAGCCGCGAGATCGTCAACCGGCAGATCCACGACATCGTGCAGAGCTGCCAGCCCGGCGAGGTGGTCATCCGCGACACCCTCTACCGCCTCGGGGTCGCACAGATCAAGACAGAGACGGAGGAGGAGGACGAGGACGTGGCAGCAGCAGAGTGAGCCCGGCTGTGGGACAGAAACTGCACCATCTTGCTCAAGCCATACCTAGGAACCCCTGGCCTAAGGCTCGTGTGTCTGAGGGACTGGCCGAGGTGGGCTCTGGGGGGAGTACCTGTTGACTGCTGGGACTGACCAAAGAGCTTCCATTTTCTTAGCACGGAGGGACCCGGGGTCCTCGGTTCCTCACCCTCCGCAGGTTGGCGGGGATGCCGAGAACTCCCTCCTTGGCTCCAGGGGCACTTGGGGACGTTATGTGTGTAATGGAGGGAGGATGGCTGAGGCAAAGGCTGTAGCAGGGAGTCTGCCTGGGGCGAGGGGCTGCAGCCACCACCTTGGGGCAAGTGGGCCCTTGAGGCTCTTGATTCCCCCGGATGGAGGAGTGCTTGCCCCTCCGGGACCTGAGGAGGATAGGCCGGCCCCTGCACCCCACTGTCTCTGGGCCCTCACCTCAGGGGGATGTGGCCCGGGGTCACCATCCGCCCTGACAGCACTAGGAAAAACTCCCTTCTGTGAAGGGGACGCAGCCTGGGCCATAAGGAAACGGCGGGCCTGGCTCAAGGGGCCCAGGTCTGGCTCGGGCCCTGGCATTGGCTGAGTGTTATTTAATTTATTGAGGGGAGTGGAGGCAGTGGCTTTTTCCCCCTCTCTGCCCCGGTAAGAATAAACTTTATTAAACCACAAGGTTGCAGTGACGGCCCCCAGGCCCGTACCTTCTGGCAGGGAACGCGCAGGTCTCGAAAGACGCAGAGGCGGCTGTGTGAGCGCCGTTAGTTTAATGTGGACAACAGCCCCCAGCGTGTCTGTTAGTCAGGATGAGTCAGCTGGGCGTGCGTGGTGTAGCCGGCTACACACCGTCCCCTGTCTCCCGCCCCCGCATGCCCCTCGCTCTTGGCTGCCTTGGGGCTCAGGCTCGCAGTAGCAGGTCCAGCGTGGGGGAGGGCTGTGCAGGTCCAGGGAGCCTTTTCTCAGCACCAGGGCAGCTCGTGGGGGCGCCGTAGGCACCAACTCAGTCTTTGTGCATCGAGACGGGCGGGGATGAGGAAGCACAGCGAACGTGAGGCCAACACCATGAGGGCGGGCGGGCAGGGGCGCAGCCCCCAGCCCCTTACTGGCAGTGGCGGCCCGGGCTCTGGGAACGGGGTCCGCTCTGACCTCCCCTAGGTCCCTCACCTTCCCAAGGAGCCGGGCCGAGCTGTGGAGTTAAGTGACCGAGGGCAGAGTTTGTACGTTCTCCCCAGGCTGCCCGTCCACGGGGGAACTGAAGCTGGGAGGGAGGGAGAGGCACTGCTCCCAGGCCGGCTCCTCAGCAGAACTGGTAGTTATTGGGCTGCAGCGAGGGCTGGGCCGTCTCCCCGGGCTCACAGCAGGCCAGGTGCTCGCTGCTGCTGCTGCCGCTGCCGCCGCCACTGGCACTGGCACTGGCACTGCCACTAGGCAGATTGGTGTAGTCCTGAGGCAGAGAGACCAGGGCAGGCAGTCACGGCGTGTCCGGCCCAGCCTGCGGCAGCCACCAACCCCAATCTGACCCTCACTCACCTGCTCTCTCGTGGCCGCTTGGACTTGCTCCTGAAGCAGGACGCAGATCTGCTGGAAGGTGGGTCTGTGTGTGGGCTCCAGGGCCCAGCAGGCCTGCATGATGCTGTATCTGGAGACGGGACAGAGCTTAGCCACGTGTCACTCCCCACAACCCAGAGGTCTCCGAACCCAGTGAGAAGTGGGTTTCCCACAAAGCCTGTGCCGAGTCCTGCCTCCTGTCCTCACAAGAACCACTGGAGAAGGGACTGCCGGGGTCATCCTCAGGGCCCCTGTCAGGCAGGCCGAGTTCCATGTCTCAGTGAGCGTAGCTTGAGCCCTTTCTCCAAAGACACACACACACCCCCGCCCAGCTACCTGGGAAATCAGTAAGCAGTGGACGCTCTGCTTGCTCGAGAGTCCACCGTGGAGAGAGGAAGCCTGGCCCTGCAGTGAGTTGTTCAAGAGAGACCAGGGCCCCTCACCCTCCAATCTTCCCTCCACTTACATGTTCTTTGGTGCAAATGCAGGCTGGGCCATTTGGTATCCGTCTTTCACCAGTTTATAGAACTTGCTGTTCACCAGGATGCCAGGGTAAGGGTTCAGCCCTGCAAAGGCCCGAGATCATTTAAGAGAAACCAACCCTCCCACACGCAGCTCACTGCGACACTGGAGCAGCCGCTGCCTTCCCTGGTGCCGACCACACCAGGCACTATGCAGTGGCCTCCGCTTAAGGAAGCCAAGAGCCTTCCGCCAGGCCTAGCACGCTGGCCACAGCACCGAGGAGGGGAGGGGGGTGCACCTTGCAGGGTGCGTTTGAAGACTGGGCTCAAGTCCCTGTTCTAGCCCTCAGGAAACTGGAGGTGGTAGATGGCTCAAGCTGCATTTTCAGATGAGGGCAAGGGTAGCATAGGTAGAGGTGTGGAAGCAAGTGTCAGGGTGGGCAGTGTGCCCGTCCTCACTCCCACCAGCACCTTGCCCCACCCACCGAGCATCCTGGAGCTTGGTGCCCCACGAGGGACGGATGCCGACATGAAGACCAAGGGCGGAGCAGCGCCACAGCTCACCGAGTGAGAAGATCTCCCAGAGCAGGATGCCGTAGGACCACACATCGCTCTGGACGGTGTAGACACAGTCAAAGATGCTCTCCGGGGCCATCCACTTGACAGGCAGGCGGGCCTGGCACGACAGTCCCTGGTCACCTGGGGCCTGGTTCCCTGCCCCCACCTAGCCCACCCCTTCCTGGCACTCACATTGCCCTTGACGATGTAGTTGGAGTCGTTCATGATGTCCCTAGCCAGCCCAAAGTCCCCAATCTTGGCCACATGGCCGCTGGTCAGCAGCACGTTGCGGGCTGCTACGTCCCGGTGGATGCACTGAGAGGAAGCACGGCAGGGTTAGGTCTGGCCCTCCCCTACCTGGGCCCAGGGGGAGGGGCGGATGGAAGGACCCACAAGGCCTTGCAGTCCCTGGTGAGGGAGTCCTCATCAGCTTTCGGCACTTTCTCAGACTCCTGTCCCTACCTCTGGCAGGGCCTGAGGTCTGAGAAAACTTACTGTGGTCATTTTAATGTGTAGAAACTTGTGTCCCTGGGGCAGGCATTGGAACGGCAGTTAGGATGCCACCTGCAATGCCTACGTCTTTATCAGTGCCCAGGTTGGTGCTCAGCTCTGCTCCCTATTCCAGCTTTCTGCTGGATGCAGCCAGCGATGGCTCTAGCAGCTGGGTCCTGCTACCCACATAGGAGACCTGGATAGAACTGGCTTTGGCTCTGACGCAGCCCCCACTGTTGCAGGTGTGTGGGGAGCAAGCCAGTAGACAGAAGGCAATCTGTCTCCGTCTCTCTGCCTTTCAGATAAGTAAAATACCACTTAACAGGAGAGGAACCATCAGCAGGCCAAGCTGCCATGCCGTATAGCCCTCTGGCTCCATGCAGCGGGAGCTGGCGGCCTGCCTGGGCCCTGGGGTGGTGAGCTCCTGTGCCAGGTGCAGCTTCTGGCCCCCGGTGACTATCCCCAGGCCTCCTCACAGAGCTCATGCTGCTAAACATGTGTTACAAAGTAACTACTCGGGGCTTTCAGAAGGCTTCGTACAAAATTAAACTCTTCAATTTTTCTGAAAGGACTACCCAATCATAGCGGTTGCCCTGTTCGGGACCTCATTGCGCCCTGGCTTCTCTTAAGCCTTTGCACACATTAGAACCTTGCTCGCCTTCAAATTACTGTGAATATACCCATTTTTTAGGTGCAAAAACTGAGGCTCAGATTTCAAGCAATTGGTCAGCATCACACAGTAAGTGACAGAACCAGCAGCAAACAGCTGACTGCCACGGCTGTGTCCAGAGCTGACTGGAACAGCCCCATAGCCTGGGCACTTGTTGCTGTGCTGTGTCATTTGGTATCCTTGACAAGTGTACAATTCAATCATTATCATCCCAAGACCACATGGTGTGTGAGGTGAGACTTGTGCACCCCCTGAATGGAAGTGAATGGAACCCGGCTGTTCTTAGAGCCCGCACCCTTCCTGGCCTGCTGCACTCAGGCACAGCCCAGGCTGGGACCCTACCCGGCCCACAGGAACTGGCCCCGGAGGCCGCTGTGCACCTGCTCCCTGGTACTGGCCCCGTCCAGCCCCACAGGCCCTGGCTCCCTTCCCACTTACGTTCTTGGAAGCCAGGAAGGCCATGCCCTGGGCCACTTGGCTGGAGAAGTGGAGCAGGTCGCGGAGCTCCAGCAGCCGGCCATCTTCCTTGTCAAGGCCTGAGGTGAGAGGAGGCAGCCGTCCTGGTGATGCCCCTGACCTACCCCAAGCCCCGGTCCCCAGCAGCCCTTCCCCTCCCTGGCCCTGGCGACAACTCACCTTGCTCGGAGGGGTCATTTGAAGAAGACGTGGAGATGGGCCTCATTTCCACGTAGGTGTCCATGCCCTGGCTGGAAAAGCCACTGTCCCTGCAGCAGAGAGGGGGAGGGGCTGTCAGTTCCCATCACAGCACTGCCCAGCCCAGGCCTCCAGCCACCCATGGCCTCTCCCAACCAGCCAGCGGGGACAGGAAGGAACCTCAAGGGCAAGGCCCTACCACATCCTGTCTGAGGGATCACCCATGGCTGCCCAGCTGTGCCCAGGGAGGTGCTCACGAACCATCCCACTGCTGGGCAGGGCCACCTGTTCCTTGGTCACCGTTCCTGATCCCAACCCATAGGACTTTCCCGTCAGCTCCTCACTCTGGCTACCCTCGAGGTTGGGAGAAGGTGGCATGGCCCTTCGCCACAATAGCCCTGCTCCAATTCCAGCATGGCCGAGGGACCTTCCTCAGGACCCATGTTCTCTACACAGCGGCTTTCAGCCCCAGCTTCACAGTGGAAGCACCTAGGAAGTGTTGAGCCCGCGCCCAGGCCCACTGCATCAGAAACCAGAGAAGCAGCTGTTTCGTTCCCGGTCCCCCCGGGCGGTTCCTTGTGTACAGCCCGGGTGCAGGAGCACTGGGTGGGAGCAGGCTTCTGAGCCCACCTCGCATGCGGAAGCAGCGCCTGGCAGTCTTCCTACACTGCAGACTCGGAATTGGCAATTCTGCATTTAACCAGTACTGCTTCCAAATTCCAAGAGAGGGTTTCTTAACCCCTCATCCTGCTGTTGCCTCTGCCAGAGATGAGCCCCTGAGCCCAGAAAGAGGACCTGCTGTTGCACGTATGATCCAACCTTAGCTAAAGCATCCCCCCTCCCTGGTACTGGATGGTGTCCCCTGGTTCACTGCAAGGTTTAAGCTCATGGTTTGCTTGGTGCTCATTTTGACTTGATCTGGCCAAATGTCGTCACCTGTAAAAGCCCTGCCTTTGCCCCCCACCCCCACCCCAGGGATGCCCGAGGATCAGAAGAGGAAGCGGACCCTGCCAGCCCCCGGCTGCAAGGCAGCTGCGGCGTAGCGGCCCCCTGGCCCTCCTGCCTCCCCAGGCTCCGCAGCTGAGGGTCTCTGGTCAAGGTGCACAGTGCACACCATGTTCGGATCCTGGCCTGGCCCCCAGGGCTCCAGGACAGCAGCGTGGCTCAAGTGAGGACTGGACGAGGAGCCCCAAGAGCTCCAGCCCAACTCCGCCCCCGCCCTGACTCGTGTGTGACACGAAACCTGCCACTTCCTCTCTCGGCTTCCACATTTGGCTCAGTCCATCTGCCTCTGGGGGGCTTCCAGGAATCACAGCATCACGACGGCAGGGCCGGGAAGCCTGGGCGAGATGCCGCACCCCTGGGGCTCACAGGGGAAGCCAGAGACCTGGCCATGGCCAGGCTGCTTTGCCTGGTCTCCCGCCACAACCATTGCTGTAGCCACCCCTGGTGGAGAGCAAGCGCCACAGGCCCGGCAGCTGTGACATGACAGGACACGCGTGCCTGGAGTCAGCCCAGCACTGGCTACAGGCACCAGTCTCGGTCCATCCTTTACCCAGGGTGACGATTTAGTAACATCTTTGCCCTCCACGCTTCCTGACTACTGTCGGTGCTCAAGTAGCTGCTGCGTGATGGGGCTCCACAGCCATCAATGTGGGTGGCTCCTCCCCACAGCACAGAAGACTCCCTGTCCTGTCCCAGGGTGCTACCTGCAGATGTATTTCTTCTCCAGGTGGACATTCTTGTAGCCGTTCTCCCCCTCGGGTTCCTCCTGGCTAGGTCCCAGCATGGCCTCCGCTTTCCTCCGCAGGAAGTTGAGCAGGTCGCCATAGCAACAGTACTCCGTGATGACCAGCACCGGGCCTGGAGCAACCAGCAGTGGTGGGGAGGGACAGGGTGGTGACCACTTAATCCCTCTCCCCACGTGACTAGCAGGAGGGGCCCCAGACTAGGCCTCCACACATCCCACTTCCAATCCTGGCTCTACGGGCAAGTGTCTGGGTGCCTCAGAGACATCTTCCAACATTTGTTTAGGGGCAGGCATTTGGCGGAGGGGTTAAGACGCTGCCTGGGATGCCCACATCCCACACCACAGGGCCCGGCTTTGTAGCTAGGCTCTGTGTCTGATTCCAGCTTCCTGCTAATGTGCACCCTGGCAGGCAGCAGGCGAGGGCTCAAGGACTTGGGATCTGCCACCACATGGGGTGGTGGAGTTCTAGGCTCCTGGCTTGGACCTGGCCCAGCCCCAGCTGTTGGAGGCATTTGAGGAGTGACAAATTTAGCCCAAGAATCTTCCTCAAAGCAGATCTATGGCAGTTCTATATAGGGCAAGATGACAATAGATGAAGAGCATGGGAGTGGGAGTGGGAGTGGGGTCCCAGTAAGCCCTAGGCACCTCCATGGCCCAGGGGCAAGTGCCCAGGCATCTCAGGGAAGGGCTTCCCTGGCCCCAGGAGCCCACACCTCCTCTCCCTGAGTGACTGCGGCTCATAGATGTCTGAGCGCCTCTGGCTCAGGCTGCACAGAATCCCTGTGTCACCCACAGGAACCCCGCACTAGCCCAGGGGTGTTGCTCGCAGGGCCCCCTCCGTGCCCCAGCCCTCACCTCCGTGGGTGCAGGCTCCCAGCAGGTTGACAATGTTCTCGTGCTGACCCAGGTGACTCATGATCTTTAGTTCCGACATGAGGGCCTCCTTCTCGTCCGCGTGGGCAGTGGCTGCAAGAGGGCGGGATAGGGTGGGCCGCAGGGACAAAGCGGGAGCCGGCAGTGGGACCCAGAGCCAGCCAGCCAGCCAGTGGAGGCCAGAGACATGCAGGCCCAGAAGAGGGAGGGAGACAGAGAAGGTGTGGCCAGTCACTAAGCAGGTCCCCAGGGCTGGGGGAAGGGGGGCAGGAAGCCCAATTGTGGCCACAGATGACCCCCAGCTGCCCCAGTACCCTGACACTCAGTCAGAAGCCCCTCCACACCCGGAAGGGACCAGGAATCCAGGAGCTGGGCACTCCCAGCAGCCCCCACCTGGGTTATGGGGTGAGTCCCGCACCTGCCCCTCCCCCTCCCCCTCACTCACACTTCAGCATCTTCACAGCCACCTTCAGCACAGCGTCTTCCTTGCCCAGACCAAAGGCCGTGGCCTCCACCACCTTCCCGAAGGCGCCGGCTCCCAGGGTCTTACCTGCCGCACACACGGGGGCTCCTCAGGCCTCTGGGCACCACCGCACCTCCCTTCGAGGGCCCCAGGGTCTCCCCTTACCAAACTGCAGGTTGTTCCGGGGGAACTCCCACTTCTCATTGTAGGGCAGCTGCGTGGGGTCGACGAAGGTGTAACTGTTGCCCTCGGAGCTCTCGATGATCTTCCAGCGCACCTGGTACTTGGGCTTCTGCGGGGCCGGGGAGGGAGCACACGGCCGTGGGTCCCAGCCCTGCTGCCCCAGGCTCTCTGCTGACCTCCCCTGCGTGCCCCACCAGGAGTCCCTGCCCCACTCTGCCACCTCCCCTTCTCTAAGCCTCGCTTTCTCTATCTGAGTTCAAGGACAAGGGCCTCTACCTCTCTTACGATTAGGTAATTCCTGAGCCGGGTAGGAAAGCGGAACTTGACCTAGCTGTCCATCCCGCATCCAAGTGGGTTTTGTTTGCAGGAACACACAAAGATCAATCTTCCACCTACTGGTCCCCACATGCCCATACCAGCCAGGTAGAGCCCAGTCAAAGCCGTGAGCCAGAAGCTCCATCCAGGTCTCCCACATGGGTGGCAGGGAGCCAAATACTTGCACCATCACCTGCTGCCTCCCAGGGTACACGTTAGCAGGGGGCTGGACCAGAAGCGGAGGCGAGACTGCATCCCAGGCACTTGCACACCGCACGTGGGCCTCCCGCATGGCGGCTCAGCCCACTCCACCACGACGCTTGTCCCTGGTTTTCAAGTGCATTACAAAACACCTCAAATACGCCGTCTCCGCCGTGGTACAGTGCATCGTGCAGAAGGATCAAGTGCATTCACACTGTGCCACCCGTTTCCAGAATTCTTTCCCTCCTGCAGAGCCGACGCATTGGACGATAGCTGCGCAGCCACAGGCACCCACGGTACCATGTCGCACGTCCGTGCTTCCCCAGCTCTAGGCCCTGCGCGTACAGTCACAGTGCTCATTCCCTGTGCTGCCCGCGTCCTCCCCACCCCGCCCTCCGTGTAGCAGGTCCTTCGTTTTCATGGCTGGGTAACAGTCCCACTCCAGACACTCACAGATCAGCACCGTGGCAGGTGCTGCCCACTTGGCATTGAACAGCCCAAGTCCTTCCCCTCGTGACTAAGGGAGGCACTGAACTCTAGCAGGTCGAGGAGGCGAGTGGTCCATGTGTGGCTCAGCGCACACCATCAGAATGACAGGTCACTCCCCAAGAGGCAGGGAGGGCCCGAGGAACCAGCCACACAGCCACAGGAGGCAAAGTGTTCCGGGCACAGGGCACACATGGGCTGGGTGTTTGGCCCAGAAATTGTAGACACCCACGGCTCCTACTGGAGTACCTGGGTTAAATTCCCAGCTCTGGTTCCTGATCCCGGCTTCCCCCTATTTTGCGCCCTGGGAGACAGCAGTGAGGGCTCAAATAGTTCAGTTCCTGCCACCCATGTGGGAGACCTGGCTGGAGTTCCCAAAATCCAGAGCAGCTCTAGCTGGGGTAGGCGTTTGGGGCGTGAACCAGTAAATGGGAGATCTCTCCTTCTCTCTCAAATATTTGTTGTTGTTGTTGTTGTTGTTGTTGTTAACACTATAGCCTCAAGAGCCTGAGTGCCAGAAGACAGCATGTGGCTTGGGGGAAGTGGGGGTGGGTTCTAGAGGCGGGAAGGTCCTGAGAGCCACTAACATGGGCGGGGTCCCTGGGACCCCGGTGAGCGAGGCAGGCTGGCAGCCCTGGGACCAAGCAAGAGCGCGATCGCGATGGAGGGGAGAGGAGACGGGCTCCCCGCTCAGCCAGCCGGAAGCTGCTTCCTGACCTCAGGGCCGGGCCAGGCCGCCCACACTGAGGCCGCCCTGTGGCACAGGCGGAGGAGCAGCAGCCGCCTCTCCCCTTCCTGGCTAGGGGGCAGCTGCACGGGGGGCACCATGCCAGGGGGCACCTGGAAAAGTGCTGATGGAAGGCCCCATTTCAGGAGAAAGTGGAAGCTGGGCTGGGCTGGCAGCGGACACCAGGGCCTACATCAGCAGCCCCTCTTTCCGGTCAGGCCTCGGGAATGCGAGCAGTGCTGCTCTGCGCACCAGCTGGCTCCTTCCCAGGGCACCATGAGGGCAGCCGTGGGGCCCGGGAGCGGCTGTGGGCAGGACACTGCAGCCTCGGTGGGTTAAGAGGAAAGACTCCAGATACGGCCATGGGCAGGAACTTCTAGTCGGTCATTTGGGAGAAAAGACCATAGTTAGACATCAGGAAGAACTTCTGGGCTACGACTCAGAACTGGCAGCTGTGCCCTCTCTGGAGGAGCCTGAAGTGGACCCGGGAGAACGCCTGCTTCCTCAAGGCTCAACCCTGCACGTGGGGCCTTTCCAGCCCAGAACACAGCCAGGAGGGCGCTGTGGCCGCCTTGGACACCTCCACCCCCAGGAGCCCTTGCGGCCATGGCCATCTTCCTCCTCCCCACTTCTTCTTCTGCTCACCCTCCCCCACCCCACCCCCGCAGCTGGTCTGCTCAGCCCCACCCAGCCCAGCTGGGGAGCAGCTACTGCAGCAAGGGAGGGGGCAGGGGCCCCGAGGGACTGAGCCGTCTCATCTCCCCTCTCCCTGGAGAGGGCTAGGGGCTCAGGAACAGCCGCCTGGGCTTCGATTTCCCAAGAACGGGAACAGTGGCCTGCCGGAAGCAGCCAAGGCCATGGAGCGCATCCCAGGAGCAGGCGCAGGCCCCGGGCCACGTGCTCCCCAGACACAGCTCCTGCATCACCCCCTGGATTCCTCAACCCCCCCAGGCCTTCCTCCCACTCCGCCAGTGACCCAAGGGGGATGGGGACACAAGGGTCCCAGCCAAGCATACCCTGTCCTCGCAAGCTCAGGCCCCGCCCCCAGAATCGAGGCTCTGCAGTCCCCCCACCCCTTCCCTGCTCTGTCTGCCCCCTGCTGTCCCGGCAGCCCGCTGACCATGGCCCTTTTCTCTCCCCCTAGTGGGATAGAAGGTGATGATTCAGCCCTGAGCAGAGCACCCTGCACACAGGCCTGGCACAGGGCAAGGCGGGGAACACCCGTCCTCTCCCAGCCAGGCCTTGTCCCCTGGCGGGGCCCCTCAGGGCGTGGGTTTGTGCAGAGGAAGCAGGAGCCTGAAGCTGGGTGTCTCTCTGGACTTGGGTTGTCTCAGAGGAAGCCGGCTTTTCTGCATGGGAAGTGAGCAGCCGGAGAGAGGATCGAGTGTCCCCACACTGAGGCCGACGGGTGGCCAGCCCGGAGAACCGGCTCCTCGCTGGGACCTGCAGCCTGTGGGGCCCGGGAGCCACTTTCAGTTCCACATAAGGAAGACCGTGGCGGGGCCAGGGCTGCACAGGGAGGGAGTGGCACCCTGGAGAGCGAGTAGGGTCCTGGCCGGGAGGGTGTGTGGTCAGGCAGAGGACTGGCCACAGATGCCTGTAGTCGCCAGACACATGAGCTAACTGCGGTTCTGGCCAACTTCCTCCTAGGACGGGCTGTGGCCTCTGCCACCAGTCCCGTCCGTGCCCGCGGCCCTGCCAGTCCTCTCCCGGCCTTATGTCACGGAGTATGTGCGACAACGGGGTGGGGGGAGGGGAGGATGGGGTGGCCACCGTTATTAACCCCATTTTAAAGCTGGAGAAACAGAGGCTTTGAGACACCAACTTCCCCCCACTGTCTCATAGCCTGAGCCTGGCAGGGGTGGGCTTCGAACTTAAATCCATTAAACTCTCAACCCTGGCTTTTACGCTAGACCATGAGTAGCTCGTGAAATGTCGGAAGAGAAGGGGCCCTTAAAGCCCCCCGCCCCCGACCAGGCCTATTGTACAGGGGAGGAAACCTAGCCCCAGAGCACACAGCCCGTCAGCCAAGGCTCCGCGGCCAGACAGCGTCCAAGCTGGGACCAGACCCCGGAAGTCCCGACCCAGGGCCGCGTTTCCTTGGGGGCTGCTCAGAGCCACCTTCCTGTGCTGAGTGGCAGCACCAGCACGGAGCCCTGAGCCATCCTCTGCCCCACATCAGCCCTCCTGCCTGCTCAGAGTCTTGTATGAATGCCCCACACAGCTGGAGGAGAGCAAAGGCAGCCAAGGGCGGACAAGCAGGTTAGTCAGCCCTCAACCCCCCCGGCTCACCTGTGCTAAGCAGCCGACAAGCTCTGGGGCTACACTGGGGACCACCTTCTCCCCAGCACCAAACCCTCCACCGCCGTGTTCTTCTACCACCTGTCCCCTTGCACACACCGCCCTCCTCCCGAGTTGTGTGTCCCCTCTGCCGTGTCCCTCACCCTCCAAGGCCAAGCCACCTCCTTCAAGCAGGCTGCCTTCCCCAGCAGCCCAGGAAGAACCCCCCTTCAGTGGGGAGGCGGCTAGGCCCGAGGTGCGGTGCGAGAGGCCCCTGGGTCCCCAGGCACCTGCGTGCCACCCGGCCCAGCTCACCTGTTTGTACTTGTACAAGAGCAGCAAGAGGAGCAGCAGCAGCAAGGCCATGACGGACAGGCAAGCGACCACCACTGGCGTGAAGAGGGACCCCTCGGGGAGCTGCACGTAGGCTCCTGCGAAGGCGAGGCAGACGCATGAGCGGCAGGGGGGGCCTCGGAGCCTCCACCCTGGAGCTCAGGCCAGCACGTGGGCCGAATCCCCCCACCCCAGCACCCCCAGCCCTGCTCACGCCCACAGCCCCCATCCCTGCCCAGAATCACGGCCTCCTGGGGCTGGCGAGGACCCCTTGGGTGTGCACCCCACCTCCGCCGGGGCAGAAACCCCTCGGCAGCAGCCTGGCCTCTACTTGCAGCCTCCAGTGACGGGCAGCTCACTACCTCCAGCCAAGGGTGAAAGGGCTGCTCCAGCTTGCATCAAAATCTGCATCCTCAGAGTTTCCCCTGCCGCTTCCCGGGGTGCCCTCTGCAACCACCCAGCCTCAAAGTCAGGCTCATGGTCCCTGCATCTCCTCTTCCCTGGATCTCAGACCCCAGTTCTTTCAAAGTGTTTGGAAGGACAGAGTTTCTATCCCCTTGCCCAGATTAGAAGCTTGGGTCTGAGTTCAAATCTCACCTCTGCCAGTGAGGGGGTGTGTCACACTGAACCCGACTCTGCCCTCTAAGCCTCAGGTATATCATCCCCAAATGGGGAGGCAGATGGGACTTCCTCCTAGCGCCATGAGTTAACGGAGATCTCTGTAGAGCCTCATGTGATGCCCAGCACAGTGCCGCCTTCCATCAAAACGTGGCTCTGCCCCCGATAACGTGCAACCTCCAGCAGCTGCTCCACAGCCAGCAGCGAGGCACCCACGTAACCACCCCTGAGCCAGCCAGAGGCCAGGGCCTCCTCTGCCCCCCTTCTGCCCCAGGTACACAGGGACGGCTGAACTGGGGCCGTTAGAGGCCCGAAGGTGCCAGGGGCCTTGAGAATCAGAGAAGCAGCCCACAGGAAGCCTGTGTGCAAAGCGGATCAAGGTACCCTGCGTGAGCACCTGGATTGGATAGCAGCCCCCAGGCAGCTTCCCGCACAGCGGCTCCGAATGGGCCAGGCTGCATCTCAGCAGAAAGGGAGTCGCAGAGAGACGGAGGAGGCTGCCGGGCTGGCGAGCATCGCGTCTCCTCGCCCATCGTCCAATCCCTCCCCAGACTCTAAGCTCCATGGGGACACTGGTCCCCTGCACGGAGCAAGCATATAGCAGCTGGCCTAGGCCGAATGCATACTGCAGACTCAGTGACCCCCAGGTGCAGGACACGAGCTGCGTTAGGGGCCCGGCTGCTTTTCCTCAGGCCCTGTTCTGTTTCCTCTCAGCCTCACCCCTGCAGGGTCCTGGACTTTCCCATCTGTCTGTCGGGCACGAGGGTCCGAAGCCGGCCCGAGGGGAAGAGCCCACCGCTGCTGGGATCTGCTCCACTCCGGACTCTGGAGGAGGGGAGGCGCGGGCTCACCTATAGAGACGGGCCTGAAGGTCTCGGAGTCGTTGCCCACGGTGTTGAGGGCCCTGCACTCATAGGTCACGTTGTGTTCCAGGGACCCAGTGGACAGCAGGCTCTGGACGGTCACTTTGTGGAAGGGCTCCTGGCTCAGCACCTTGGGCGACGGGTCCTCCCAGATCCACAGCACGTGGGCCTCATCACATCTGGGAAAGCAGAACGCAGCAGGGCGCGTGAGGACTGCAGCGCTGTGGGGTGCCCAGGGCCTCAGCCTGGGGTGAGGGGAGCAGAACCCGCTTACCTGTCAGCATGGCCCCTGCACTGCAGCCAAGTCACGTTGGGCTGGGGGTACCCGGACACATCACAGAAGAGGGCGTCTGAGCCATTGACTAGGGTCCTGGTGAGGGTCACTGCTGGGGGGTCTGCGTGGACCGTGGAGAGGTCAGGCCAGCTGCCTTCTCTGACCACCTTGCACTGAGCCCGATCTCTCGCACCCTGGGTCAAGCCCACCTCTCTCTCCAGTGGCCCAGGGGACCCCCAGCCCACCCCTCCCCACCACGCACATTGCAGGGCGAGCTCGAAGGTCAGAGCACTGGAGCCACCCACGTTCCTGGCCAGGAAGCAGTAGCGGCCGGCCTCGGTGGGCTTCAGACGGCGCAGGGAGAGGCTGGACGTGTACCTGCAGGAGAGGGACAGCGGCCCCGGTGAGCCCCGGCCCTGGCCAGGACAGGGGGCTCACACAAGAACCTTTCAAGGCGTTAATTTTCTGTTTGATAAAACGTCCAGGGCACAGAGGCCACGGCTGAGCCAGGTGCACAGGCAGGGTGTGAGACAGGCGACACCACCATCCCATTCCTCATCGGTTTTCTCATCAGACTGTGGAGACGCAGGAGAGCTCAGGTTTTAAGGTGCAGGGAGGCCCTGCCTTCAGCACCGTCCAGAGGAGCAGCATCCCTGCGGCAAACCCCTAAATCCCACCAGCCCTGGCGAGTCAGACGGCGACAGCCCCGAGAGGCAGGGTCCTGGGGCTGCTGTTTAAGTACCACACTAGCGTGTCTGTGGTCAAGTCTCGACTCCACTTCTGACCCAGCTCCCTGCTAATGCACCTGAGAAAGCAGCAGCGATGGCCCACGAACTTGGGTTCCTGCCACCCATGTAGGAGACCTGGGTGGAGTTCCAGGCTCCTGGCTTTGGCCTGGCCCAGCCCTGGCTGTTGTGGCTGTTTGGGGAGTGAACTAGTAGACTCAAGAACTTGCTTGTTCTATCATTCAAACACATGCATCTTTAAAAAGAAAAAAATGAATGGCTTAATGTGCTGCAGGTTGCTATGCCCAGGGTCAAACCCTGGCACTGCCATTTCTTGGCGGTGTGGCCTTAGAGAGATATTCAGCCTCTCTGATCCCCTGCTTCCTTTGCTGGGAGGGCAGTGTTGATGGTTATCAGCCCACAGGCATGGGCAACCAGGTAAAAGTGAGTGTATTTTGTGTGAGGGGCACAGAACCTGACCTTGAGGGCACCGAGTTGAACCGTAGCTTTCCAGACAGCCAAGGCCTGGATATGAGCACGGATGACTTAATGCCCCCAGGCAGGCTACAGGGACATTCTGTCTACATTTTCTCTTACCCTCTGTTTCATAATGTGTCCACGATGAGCACACATTGTAGATAATAGTGCTTTTTCAAAAGATACTCCAACAAATCACCAGATCTTGCTTAGGCAATGTCTGCAGCTCCCATGAGCCCACAGTCCCTGTACTCACAGGAACGTGTGGCTCAGCCAGACCCGGGACCCACGGCGCCCCTCTGTGTGCATCACTTCTTTAAACAACTGACCCACAGCCGGCACTGTGGCATGCTAAATAGGCTAAGCCTCCACCTGCAGAGCTGGCATCCCACATGGACACCGATTCGAGTCCCGGCTGCTCCTCTTCTGATCCAGCTCTGCTGTTGGCCTGGAAAAGCAGTGGAAGATGGCCCACGTCCTTGGACCCCTGTGCCAGCGTGGGAGACCCAGAAACAGCCCCCAGCTTCAGCTATTATGGCCATCTGGGGGAAGTAAGCCAGTGGACCCAAGAAGATGGAAGACCTCTTTGTCTCTCCCTAATTCTACTTCTCCTAATAAATAAAATCTTTATTTAAAAAAAGTTAACTTCAGCTGAAAACAATCCAACTTTCTAGGTGCCTCAAATGCACCATCACGGACATATCCAGCAGTCAGTGAAGATGCAGGGGCTGTGTGCCACACACGAGCACTTAGGCTATGTCCTTGGGTATCCAGGTTCTTTTTCAGAGTCTATGGCCCCGTCCCCACTCAGGGGTCCATGGACTCCAGGTTCCAAGCTTCTGCCAGAGACAAAGGCAAGCTAGGGACTCTGGTCATCAGGGAGCACGAGAGAATGGAGGAGGAGGGAGAGGAAGATGAGGAACTTGTGGCTTCCGAGTATGGACAAGTGAAATACAGGGATCAGTGAGGCTGGGGCTTAGGAGCCAGAGGAAGAACCCCAGAGCATGCTGTGGTTGGAAGACGGCAGAGGGAGTGTCTAGCTCAGGGAGGACCAGCAGGTCTGAGACACCCGTGCTGGAGACGCTGCCCGGGGACTGTGCTGAGAAGGGCTCCGAGGCCGTATCTGGACCCTGCAGGAGGGAGCTGCAGAGCGATGGGACAAGGGAGTCTCTCCTGAGTGTACACGGTGGGAGGTGTGGCATGCACACCACGTGTCAGCAGTCCTTCCTCACTCTCATAGAGCAGGGTACGAAACCACGGCTTCAATATCCAGGTCCAGCGCTCCCATAAGGGAGGAGACGGAGGCGGGCCGGCGTCGTGGCACAGCAAGTTAAGCCACCGCTTCTGATGCTGGCATCCCATATCAAAGCATTGGTTCAAGTGCCAGCTGTTCCGCTTCCGATACAATTCCCTGCTAATGCAGCTGAGAAAGTAGTGGAAGATGGTTCAAGTTCTCGGGCCCCCTGCCACCCATATGGGAGACCCAGATGAAGGTCCTGGCTCCAGCCTGGCCTACCCCCAGCCTCTGAGGTCATTAGGGGAGTGAACCCGTGGCTGGAAAACCTCCATCACTCTGGATGTCAAATAAATTAGTAAGTTTTTTAGAAAAAGAGGGGATCATGCTGTGGCACAGCAGATAAAGCCATGATCTTCAGTGCTGGCATCCCATGTGGGCCTTAGTTCAAGTCCCAGCTGCTCCAATTCTGACCCAGCTCTCTGCTATAGCCTAAGAAGTAGTGGAAGATGGCCTAAGTCCTTGGACCCCTGCACCCATGTGAGAGACCTGGAAGAAGCTCCTGGCTCCTGGCTTTGGATCAGCCCAACTCAGTCCATTGTGGCCATTTGGGGAGTGAACCAGTGGATACAAGACCTCTCTGTCACTCCCCCAGTAACTCTGCCTGTCAAATAAATAAATGTTTCAAAAAAAAAAAAAAAAAAAAAGGAAGTCTACTCCCTCCTCCTGCCAAGATCTGGCAGGTGGCTGGCACCCTACAGTCATCGTGACCGAGGAAGGCAAGAGGAATGCAGTTTTCTACGTTTGGATTGGCCAAAGAGCACAATGAGTGAGGAGAAAGAATGGACAAGGCCAAGAAATGGTGGCCTTCCAGAAGAGGGCGCTGGAACCTGCTCACTGAGAGTGAGGCCCAGAGGGGGGAGGAATTCACTCGGGGTCACACAGCAAGTTCTCCAAGGGCAGAAACCAAGTGCGCCAATTGCCAGCTGAAGCATCCCCTACGTGGCTTTGGGGCTGTGCACGCGGGAGCTGTGGTACCTGTACATGTCCTTGTTGGTGATAAACTCAAGCTTGGGCTCATAGTCGGAGAAAGGCCCCAGGTAAGTCCAGTTAAAACTCTGCAGGTCTGGGTAGGCCTCCACCTGCACTTGGAGGTTCAGGGTCTCGCCCACTGAGACCTCCTGGAATAGGTTCTGCTTCGAGGTCAGGTTCACATAGGCACTCCCTGCGAAAGAGAGTATGGAGAGATTAGTGGAAAGTCTGCCAGTGTGTTGGTTTTCTGGGTTCTCCATCTTCGCTCAGCTGTCCCTGAGCACCTGCTATGCACCAGGTCCTGTCCCGTCCCCTCCCTGGCCTGCCTCCAACGTCTCTCTCCCATCTCCTGTCTCAACACCAGACTCGGAACCCTTCCCCCTGGCCCCTGGAGAGCCACAGTACCATCCTCTCTGTGTCTCCCTTTCCTTACTTGGATAATGAAGAGATCCCATCTATGCTTTGTTTTGACTTTTTGAGAAAGTTTCTGCATTAGAAAAAAGCAATCTTGTTCTCCCATGTGCCCACGTGCGTTTGGCCAGTGTGGCTTCCACACGCAGTTCTGAGTGAGTGTGTGACCCAGATGGTCATCAGGACACCCCGCCCCCGCACGAGTGACTGGTCTGGGTTAGGCGTGCCAGTCACGATTCTCAAAGTCTGTGAATTTTGTTGAAACTTTGAGACGGGAGAAAGCCCTTGAGTGAGGGGTCCCCAAACAGGGGCTTCTGGGGGGAGCTTTGGGCCTGCCTGGGGCGGGAGAAGCGAGGGCCCCACACAGAGACAGAAGCGGCTTTCCCACGTCATCAGAGCACCTGGATCTGGCTGTTCCTGAAGGTGATGACGAGAAGCCGCTCCAAGTGGGCTGCCGCTCCCGAGCCTGGGGGAGTCCCCACTGGCAGCTTCCAATGACACCTCACTAGGATGGGGCTCAGTGGCTCTGGTGGCCTCTCAGGCACAGAGTTGTGGTCAGAGCCCCACAGCCACACCCCATCACCACGCCTCCCCAGGTCTCCCACTGAGCTCCAGAGAGGTCTTCCTAGAACCCCAGAGCTCTGCAGAAAGCCCCGGAAAGGGCCGATCTCCAAGGGCGCTGCTGCTTATTTATTTTTGTGAAACCTAAAACTTGCTCTTCCGACCTGCTGCGTGCCTGCTCAGCAGCTCCCAGGGCTCACCACGGCCTCGGTGATCCGGTTTGGTATCGACGGCTCGCGTCCAGCCCGACAGATGTGAGCATGCTGAGCCGAGCAGCGCCTCCTTCTTACACCCAACTCACCACGCGCATACATCTAGCAAAGTCCCCCAACCAGCACAGGCACTCCCTCCTCAGCGTGAGCAAGCCATTTCCTTCCAGCCAGGAGCCCCGCCCCTCTTCTGTTTACCCTCCTCATCCTCCCAGACTCGCCCCACCGTGGAGTCGCCAGTCCCCACTCCAGGACACAGGAGCTCTTGGTCCGGGGACTTCTGTTGCCCATCCAGATCTCTCTCTCCCTCCCCTCCCCCACAGACACAGACACACACACGCAGACACACACACACACAGACACACGGCCTCATCCACAGTTTCTTGCTTCTGCTTCTTTCAGGCATCTGTCTCCTCTCTCCATCTAGTCCACGAGCCCTTAGAAGCCACTGTTTGCCTTCTCTCTCTGTTATTCAGTTGTCTACCCATCCATGTGTCCATCCACTCATCCATCTGTCCATCCATCCACCTGCCACCCCCTCCATGAGCACCGTAGTGACCCCGCCATCAGCGCCAGCCTCAACCACTGTAGCGACCTCCCACTCCTTCCCCACCCTCTACCCCGGTCTCCCTGCAGACGGCCCCTGAGAAAGCACCAGGAAGCCCCGTCACATCCGAGCCTGGTCACATTCCCTCTGCTCAACCTTCACCTCTCTCAAGAGGAAAAGCCCCTGTATCGGCCTGCAGGACCCGGTGAGACTGCCACCTCCCCTTTGCCTGTCTCCCTCTCGCTTGCTCCACCCTAGCTACGCTGGCCAACTCGGTTCTCGAATAGGATGAGCACCATCCCACCTCAAGGACGCTGCTGGCCCCCTGCCTGCAGCCCTCTGCCCAGTGTCTGCACAGCTCGCTGCTCCTCCAGCCTCAGGTCCTCTCCCAAGTGGGGGCATCCACGAGCCGCCCCTTGACGCCTGCCTGCAGCCAACTTGCAATGCTCTAACGCTCTCTGTCTGCCTCTGCTCACTCCTTCTGCTCCCTGCCCGCCGTGTCGGGCTAGGGCACCAGCTTCAGGATAGGGCACTTGGTGGGGGTTGTATCTGCTGTGTTTGCACCTGTGATCTCAGTGCCTAGGCCAAAGCATGAGTGAACCCAACATTCATCGAGTGACTCTACGCCTCCCTGAGAAGCCAGATGGGCTTGGCAGCAATGGTGGGGGGACTGAGAGGCGAGGGAGACAATTCTAAGTGCATCTGCTCCCCTTCCCCACTTTGCACACACGGCACCCCCACGCAGAGCTCCCACTGCGCAGCGAGCCTAGGGCACCGCACAGCCTCTGGGGGCGATGATTCACCACTGCCTCCTGGAACAGCCAACACGTGAGCCACGGCCACCCTCAGGAGCGCCTGCCTTGCAGTTCCCAGGCCAGCGGCTGCCACAGGCCCTCTCTCTTCTCCACCCCCTTACTTCGGGAGCCGGCATGTCTTGACCAGCTTCCTTCCACATCGTCCGGGGCACACACTCTTTCCTGCCCCTGTGCTGTGGTCCAGCTCCCTCCGCCAGCCACCTCCAGCCTGAGCTGCTGCATCAACAGCCCAGATTCTTCCCCGGCCTGTGGTCTCTTCTCCCACCCGCAGCAGCAGCAGCCCGGGCCTCCCCAGTGAGTCTCGTCACGTATGAGCGTTCACGCTGCACCAGGCCCTGCTCTCCAGGGACACACACACGTACATAGGCACACGCTCATTTAGTCCTCACGAGTCTATGAGGTGGTTGTGCTATCTCCCTTCTGCAGACAGGGACACCGAGGCACAGGGGCTGAGTGACCTGGGAGTTATCAGCAGAGCCAGGCGGGACGAGGCCTGGCATTGCATGCTCCTGATCATCCCGCCACTAGTGCTGCCTCTGTGCAACCTGACCCCAACACTCTCCTTAAAAGCTTCTGTGATCGGGGCCGACGCTGTGGTGTAGCAGGTAAAGCCACCACCTGCAGTGCTGGCATCCCATATGGGCGCTGGTTCTAATCCCACCTACTCCTCTTCCAATCCAGCGCTGTGCTATGGCCTTGCAAAGCAACAGAAGATGGCCCAAGTCCTTGGGCCCCTGCACCTGAGTGGGCTTTGGATCGGCTCAGCTCTGGCTGTTCTAACCCTTTGAGTAGTGAACTAAGACCTCTGTCTCTCTGTTTATGCCTCTCTGTAACTCTGCCTTTCAAATAAATAAATAAATATATATATAAAAAAGAAAAACCTCCCATGATCTCGCAGCAGGGTGGAGGCAAGCTAGCCCACACCTGAAGGCTCCTTCGCCACTTGCACCCCATCTCCACCCACCGCTCAGGCCCACCCGCAGCCCTGCGGTGCTCAGCTTCTTTCCGTGTTGGAAATACCCCACTCTCTTCGACTTCTGGCTTTGCATACGCTGTTCCCCTTGCTCTCCTCGCCCCTTTGCCTGCAAGCCCAGTTCAGCTGAGGGGTTGTTTCTCCAGGCCCGAGTTGGGGGAGCCCGCCACGTTTCCCCCATGATCCCTCTGCGTGGTCACTGTGCCAGCATCTATGTGCTTTGAGTGGCCCTGGGCATGAAGCAAGCAAGGAAGGAGTGAGCAAAGCAAGTGCTGTACAGAACTCCTGGACCCCCATCCCGAGACAAAAGTGACAAAGTGATGCTGAAACAAGACCCAGCCTCGTGCTGCAGGAGCACCAAGGCGGCAGGGAGGGTGCCCAGAGTTGGGTCCCGCAGCCAAGCCCGGGTCCACCTGTGGCGTACCTCACAGGGTCTCCTCCCTCCCACCAGCGGCTTCTCCTTTTCAAGCCCTCACCACCCCACTCTGCCCCGGGGTCAGCCCCACACCCAATGCTCACCTACCACCCGGAAGACCATGGAGGAGGAGCGGGTGCCCTGGGGGTTGGTGGCCACGCAGGTGTAGTTGCCCGCATCTTGGAAGCTTACGTCACTGAGGCTGAGGGTCAGGACTTTATGGTAGCTACCATCATGGAAGTCGGAGTCTTCAGAGAGCGCGAGCTGCGGGCAGATGGAGCAGAGGTTTCCCAAGGTCGCGTAGGCATCCGAGAGCTCTGGGCTCAGCGCTTCAGTCTAGGGATCACTGTCCGCCCTGCCTGTGCTCGGGCGAGGGGCTGCACCGTGAGCCTCAGGCTCTTCATCTGTCAGATGGGACTGCCAGGGGCCCCCTGGCCCTGGGGTCGCAGTGAGAAGTGAGAAGTGCAGAGCAGGGGCTCAGCCTGTACCTGGCACACTGCAGGCGCAGCAGGAGGGAAGCAGTCCCTAGACAAAGCCTAGCACCGTTCCCTCCCAGTTCTCTCCATTCTGTCTCCCACAGCCTTTCTGCAATAGGTTCCGGGCCCCTGGGCTCCCCCGTTGGCCCAGGAATCCCTTGCTGAGTGAGTGGTCAGCTAGCATCTGGCACGCGTCTGGATGTCGAGGCAAAGGTCATCTGTCAAAGGCCCAGGAGCCGAGGCCTGCTTCTCCATCAGCAACCAACTGGCAGCCGCATCTCCACCCCTCCCTGGGCCTGCGCTGTGGCCCCAGCCCCCAGAGCCAGTTTGGGGTGGGGCCGGGGGCTCCATCCTGTGGGGCCTGTGGGGGGATAGACAGGCTCTGCTCTTGCTCCCCCCCCCTTACCCCACCCTGGGGACTGACCTTGGTGTCGCCACGTTGGAGGAAGACGTTGAAGTTGTAGTCGAGGTTGCTGGCCGAGCACACGATCGAAGCAGTCTCCCCCTGAATCCGCACCAGCTCCGCAGGCGCCAACGTCAAGGAGGGGGGGCCCGGGAGCACTGAGGCCAGACAAGAGACCCCTGAAGCCTCAGCCAGAGCGGCCGCTCCATTCCCTGAAGTGGTCCAGGCGCATGGCCCGGGTCCCCTTCATTCTCCCACCCCAAATCCTTGGAGACACCACTGACGCCTCTACAGAGCAGCTCACTCCCTGCATTGCCCACCCCAGCTCTGGACTTCGGCAACAGCCAGCTCCCAGCCCCCCCACCCCCACCCCCCCGCCTCCCCTTGCAGCAGCCCAAGAGCCCTCCGAACAACGTGAACCAGATGCCACCTCTCTCCTGTGCAAACATTCCGTGAGTTGCCCCCACTCTGGCCATGAACTCCCTGGGCCATTCCCGAACATCGGAACCCCTGCCACCCTCCGTGCACTGCCTGCTGCCCCACCCAGGGCCCTGGCACCTGCCTCTCCCTCCTGCTGTGCTTTTCGTCTTAGGCCTCAAACGAGCGGCTGCGCTCACCCCTCCGATCTGTGGTTCTGAAGTTGCTCGAGGGAACGGCACTGAGGCGCAGCGGGTTACGTGCTGTTTGTAGTGCCGGCTTCTCCTAGCACAGTGCTGGTTCGAGTCCCGGCTACTCTCTGCTTCTGACGCAGCCCCCTGCTCATGTGCCTGGGAGAGGGGCAGAGATGGCCCAAGTGCTCGGGCCCCTGCCACCCACGTGGGATAGCAGGATGGAGCTCTTGGCTCCTGCATTTCGCCTGGCCCAGATCTGACTGATGTGGGCATTTGAGGAGCCAATCAGCAGCTACAAGTTTTCCATCACTCTGCCATCAAATACACAAATCTTTTAAAAACAAACAAAACACCTGAGAGAAACCTCCCCTGGTGAACTTAGCTGAGTCAGCCTCACCACTGGGCTCTGTGCTCATCACAGATCATATTTCTTTTGTTTCTACTAGATGTCAAACGAGTGACAACGCAGCATCTTGGACAGCACACTGAAGTATCTGTGCCTATTGCTGTAATGGAAAGATGATCTCATCCAGTTTCATCAGGCAGACACACTCAAGGTCATGCCCACAGTTGCTGACGGAATCTCGGCACAACTAGGGCCAGGACTCTTGGCGTCACCCCACCCAGCAAGTGCAGGATCAAGGGCCAGGAAAGAGCCCTATTGGTTGCCCCTGCCCATACAGAGGGACCCTGGGAAGGTTTAGTAGCCTGAAACCCCAGGGGCACTGGTGGCCGGCCACCTCCCTCTGACCCCACAGCTCATTACAGGGACTGACTCCCATCTCAAGCCCAGTGCTGAGCCTGGGACCCGGCTCACTCTCACCCATCTCCACGATTGCACTGGGTGCCTGCCCAGCAGGGGGAGGCTTCCTCCACCACCTGTCATCAGCCTCCTTTCTGTGCCCAGGCTGCCTCCCGGTGGGAAATCCACGCCTGAGGGTGTGGGAGAGCACCAGGCCCTCCTTGCATTTCTAGAACATTCTGGGCCCCTTCCCACCTCCCCTCCTTTGCTGAGGCAGGTCGCAGCACTGCCACCTCCTCCCTATCATTCACAGTCGGCCGCAAATAAAATGCCTCCTGCCCAGCCTTGATCTCTCACCCTACAGAACTTTAAGAAATTTTTCAACCATTCAGTTTTTTTTTTTCAATCTATTTGAGAGGCAGAGAGAAAGTGACAAGGAGACAGAAACAGGTTCACTTCTCAAATGCCTACAAGGGCTTAGGCTGGGCCATGTCAAAGCCATGTCTCCCAGGTGTGTGGCCCCTTTGAGCCACCACAGCAGGCTCCCAGGAAGGTGGAATCAGGAACCAGAGCTGGGTGACAAACCCAGGCCATCTGATGAGGGGTGCAGTGAGCTCAGCCACTAGGCTTGTGCCTACCCCGCCCCACGCACTGTTTATTCAACCGCCTTGCACACGGTGTTCCACAGCCTGTGCAGTGGTCTGAGATGCTCCTGCTCACTGAGTCACTGCTTTGTGTGGGGTCTGTCTCCTGCCCTTGACACACCACAGCTGGGTTGCTCCCCAGACGGGTGTGTAACAGCATTGGAAGAAACAAGTGACAAGCAGGGGGACGTTCTGAGACCTCCCCTCCAGCCTAGGCCACAGCCATTGCCTGCAAGGCTGCCAGCTCTCCATCCTGGCCAGCCTCTCCCGCCCCCCCGCCCCCCCCACCTCCCGCCCCCCGCCACTCACCTTGCTGCACTCTGAGCTCAATACCGATGGACTTCATTATCTTGCCGTCCACCAGAGCACAACAATAGTAATCCCGGCTCTCAAGGAACTTGGCCTTGTGGATGGTGAAGCCATGCCAGGGCGAGAAGGTATAATTGGTGTGGGGCGGGACCGGCCGGTTGCGCACCCGCATCAGGGAGACACCTGCGGCCAGCGCCGGGTCAGTGAGCAGGCAGGGCAGCAATGCATCCTGGCCCTCCAACACCGTCACCTTCTTAGCTAGTAGATCCAGGCAGATGGGTCTGGACCGAGAGAGACAGG